CCCGCCCAGAATTCTCAGCCCGAATTCTCGTCTCTGCACGGATGGCGCGGAACGGGCACCCTCTTCAACCAAACCCCTGGACGCCCGGGAAAGACTGTGATCCGTTCTGACCTCTGGCTCTTTTTCTGTCCCCTCTTGCCCCGCCCCTGGAAGGAAGGACAGTGGGCTCACCGCCTGGCCAGCATCCGCAGGACACTCGTGTGGCCCAGGTCGGCCGCCCGCCGCCTCACTGCTCGGTGCAAGGCAGCCGACAGACTGGTTCGGCGGCTCAGAAGTACGTTGTACAGGTAAGAGATCCTCTCCTGGTGGAGGGGAGGCCGGGGTGGGAGCTCCCTGAGCCTGTTTCATGTGCCGGGAATGGGAATGCCGTCTGCCCTCTGTCCAGCTCCTATCCCTCTAGGTTTGGCCTCTTCCTTTGGGGGCCTCTGCACATCCCGGGAGCAGTGTCCTACTCTCTCCTCTGGGTTTTCATACCACTGATAGATTCACTCATTCCCTAATAAAACATTCTCTCTCTTTTTTTAAACATTTTCTTTCTTGGGGGCCGCCTGGGTGGCTCAGTCAGTTGGGCGACTGACTTCGGCTCCGGTCATGATCTCACAGCTCGTGGGTTCGAGCCCGGTGTCGGGCGGGCTCTGTGCTGACCGCTCGGAGCCTGGAGCCAGCTTCGGATTCCGTGTCTCCCTCTCTCTCTGCCCCTAACGCCCTCTCATTCTGTCTCTGTCTCTCTCAAAAATAAAAAGATAAATTAAAAAAATTAAAGAAAATTTTAAAAAATTTAAAAAAGATTTTCTTTGTTTTAATTTTTAAATGTTTTTTAAGGAGATTTTTTTATTTTTTTTAAATTTTTTAAAGTTTTTATTTGTTTATTTTGAGAGAGGCAGAGCGCAGTCTGGCGAGGGGCAGAGAGTGGGGGAGAGAGAATCCCAAGCAGGCTCCGAGCTGTCAACACAGAGCCCGATGTGGAGCTCAAATCCACAAACCACGAAATCACGACCTGAGCTGAAACCAAGAGTCTGACACTTAACCGACTGAGCCACCCAGGTGCCCCAATGGTTTTAATTTTTATCTTTGAGAGAGAGAGAGAGAG